CGGGCGTTCATCACTCGTGCCGCAGGACGGAGCGAACCGGAGCCACATCACCTACCTACCCTAGGTGGATAACCTAGGTATTGTATGGTACTTATCGCAGTGCGTGACGAGATTCGCGACGGCGTAGATCAGCCTAAGCGTCTCTTCCGAGATTGTGCCATGGCCAGGAGGGCTTCTGAAGATCAAGCAAGTCCTCGTAATAGCGTCTCGCCTTTGAACGTGCGATTCATAAGATTGAGAGCCATGTAAGCTATTTCTGCCCGCTCTTTCTTCCATTGTCTGCTCTGACGATTGCAACGAGATGGGGTAATCAATATCAAAGAATGAGGTGCTCGCATTGTTGAGGCCTACCTGATTAAAACGGTCAGCTAGCGGGAGGCTCAAGAGGCACGTACAGTACATGGCTGCGTACTGGCCCCCACTAAGACCCTTTTCAGTAGTACTTGCCCAGGTGTGTACCTATGTACCTGGGAGTATTGATCTGCCCTGGTGAGGACGTAGTTACCTAGGTACTCACCGTACCGCCCGGCATCAAGTGCACGCTCCACTTCCACTTTCCACTTTCCACTCTCACTCAAAGTGTCTGCCAGGTCAAAGCCCGCCATTTCAGGCACTCCAATCTTGATTCAGCGGCTCCGTCAAGCCTCTCCACCCGACCTTCGCTTCGTTCATACAACGACAGCAACATCTTGGTACACCTAATCCATCACCAACGATCGAGGCTGACGACGTGCCACAACAACCGAGCCACCCGAAATCAATTCTACTATCGAGACGACGAATCTCCTTCCCAGATAGCCGACGTCGGTCTTGACGCAGCGGTGCATGTCAGCCGACTCGAGCCCTCCCAGCCGTCGCCGGTGACGCGACACCTCACCCATCTCCCTGGACACCGCCCGAACCGTCCCCTCCACCGATATTCAATTGCACGCATTGAGAACGGCTTCTCAGTATTCTGACGACTGCGGCTCTCGGCAGTCTCGTCGCTGTCACGCTCGGTCGCGCTTGACGACTTTTTGGTCGGGTCGCTAAGATTTTCTTTGCATCGGTGCAAACACGTTTTCACCATCTGCGACCTACCATCATCATCTCTGCCGACCAGCTAGAGCGAGCCATCATGTCATTCCATCCTCAGACTCCACAGAGCCCGTCGCACAGGTCACCTAGTACCACAGAGCCCAGCGGCCACAGCACTATGACGTCCTTTACTACCAACCTGCCCACTCCGGCGCACAGTATTAACGGCACCAGCCTGTCCTTGGACTCAACGCACGACGTGAACATGGGTGAAGACTCCCCTCAGAAGCGGAAGCGAGCGCAGGAAGACGTTGGAGAGCAGGGACACGACCAGAAAAGGCTGCACGTGGACGATGGCTTGCCCGGTATCAATGACATGCACGAGGACGTTGGGGAGAAGTACCTACTCCTCCAGAAGACCTGGCAGCCAGCACAGCCAGTGCTATCTGAGGATCTCTTCGAAATGTACGATTTGACTGGGATCGCAGGAGAAGTCGCCCGTGTGTTACCAGATGGTTCCAAGAACGCGCTTCGTAAGACGTACAAGGGCCAGATTAAGAAACTCGGCCTCATGGGGCACTTTGATGCGGTCAAGAAGGAGGCAAATGATCCCAGCGGTTTCCTCAGCATTCTCAGCGTTCCTGATCAGGAGTGGCATGTGCACTTCGTTCAAGGGAAGGACGTGGAGGATGGCTTCCGGCCAGAGATTAAGAATGTCCTGTCCAGAGCTACTAGCATGGCTCGTGGCGCTCTTCCAAAGAACAAATGGGACACTTCGGTTCTGGCAGACTTTGCGGGAGGGCCGAAGGGCTTATCCTCTGCAAAGGCGACGGCGACGGCGCCTGGCACCCCTCTGAATCCTGCCTTCAGCGGCGTTCCTCGCATCAAGGCTCAAGGGGTCTTGGCTCAAGAGGCCACTCGACCACGCAGGGCCAATAAGAAGAGGAGCTATGGTGATAGCAGCTTCGAGGGATATGAGGGCTACCTGGACGACGAGACGGGAGCAGACACGGGCTACTCGACTGGTGAAGGCGAGGGCGCTAAGCGGAGAAAGAAGGTGCTTAGAGCTCTGGCCTTTGTTCATGTTATTGAACATTTGCTGACAACTCGCAGAATGTCAAGTCCCGCGTTGGAACACCCCGTCAGGCCTACGGCCCTGGAATGGTGGGTGTCTAATGACCTACGACCGACCCCGAGTCAACGGTTGCTCTCACTGAGTTGCAGAAGTTCCTCGCTGTTCAAGTCGTACAACAAGCCACATTCCGCGAACCGAATTGCCTCTTTCTGAGGTTTTCTTGCGCAGCTTGGGGGACGAAGCATTTGATTCCGTTTTTGTTACCGCATCTCACGAGCAAGCCTATACTGCGAGCATCGCCCTACCAAGTCACTCGATGACGGAATTGTACACATGGACATCCGTGGTGATGGCTGGTTACCATGATCGACCAGCTGTTTCGGGGGGAGATGTCAGCTGGTAGTGTCGACTGAGGGGGGAGGGGGTTCGCAGAAGCATGGGTGACCATCGGTATCACCACCATGAAGAAAGAGAGAGAAAAAGGGGCGGAGGGCATGGGGGTCCGTTTGCCACGGCAACGGAAGGATATGTTACCGCAATAATGACTGACTGACAGGACCGAGTCCCTACCGGTACGTTACGATAGGACTAGGGGTTCTGATGTTGGTAACTGCTGTGGTTGTTCGACAAGAGGTTGCCCCTCCAGTTGCATTTGAAATTGATACGAAACCAGCATGGCGTTGGGGGTTATTTGTTTTATGGTCACCAAACCCTACGATATCGGCCATCAAGAGATTCTAGGGAAAGAAAGAAAGAAAAAATACCTCCCACCGCTAGCACGAGTCCTCGAGACCGCAGCGTGGGACTTGTGCATTTGGTTGCTTGGCTGGTTCTGCCTGATTGAGGGGTTTCATGGCCTGCGAGGGCCGTTACTACTAGGCTCTACTGTTCTAGCCTACATAGAGGAATACAAAAGCGAGAACATTGATATAATCTGGTCCACTGCAGTATGTCGTTGTCGTTATCGTTGTCATTCTTCTGGGCAAGGGATTGTGTTATTACGTACCTCCTTGCGGTGCCTTGACTGAAGAACTGCAACTTTCCATCGTTCTGGGCATGTCAGATATGGTATGGACTGACATAACCGGTTGCTATTCAAGGTGAGGTCTGATGGGCTGGAAGAAGTTGTGCTTTATGATTCGCGAACTAGGTGACCCTGTGCTATCCTAACATGGAGGAGGAAGTAAGCAAATATACAACTACCTGCCTCTGCAGCTGCCTCTGCAGGAGCACCGAGATCATACCTACTAACCACCTGGGCAGGTAGGTAGGTATTTAGGTAGTTCGCAGCGGCGGGCTTCCAAGGCTCTTAACAGAAAGATGCACTCCCTTCTTCCAGTAAGTGACTTTCCACCCACCTGGGCAAGTAGCTTCTTCCGCTTAACTCATTTTGACCGGCGAACAAGCGAGTACAATCAATCATCTTTACTATCGTCGAGAACACGCACAGCGCAGAATATACCAGCGCATACTTCGTATGTTCTCGGTTTGGCTCTTTCTTAACGTGTTTCTCCGACTTCATCTCATGATCTCCTGCCTCCCAGGACCGTGATCACTATCTCGACAGGCGCCTTTCCGCTACCTTGGCAGTCGCCTAACCGCTGCCTCCACAGTCCCCATACCAACGCTCCTGTCCCCTCGTCGACCAGAATCGCAGAAATTCCACGATCTCGACTCAACCGTCGTCTAGCACAACGCCTTCGACGCAAGCGACTCCGACACCATGGCGGGATCCACCACCGGCAAGAATCCGACCAGACATGGCCATCTCTCCTCGCCATTATTCACGAAGCTTCCGACCGAGATACGCTTGATGATATACAGCGAGGCATTCACTGGATCCTGCGCTACCATTATGGCACGCTCGAGCTCCTCGGTGCCCAATATCAAGCCCACAGACCATAATCATCTTCTATTTACCTGCCGTGAGGTATATGAGGAGGCCCGTACTACTTACTGGTCCCAAACAGCTGTGTGTGGCACGGGCGTGGTCCGCCTGGGAGCTATCTTGTTGACCATTCCGAGCTACGCCAGGCCTTTGATTGAACATATGCGGTTCGAACCCCGCGAAGGGTCGAGGATGGGGGCTTGTGAATTTCTGGGCCATTTCAAGCGACTCAGAACCCTCGTCCTGGGTCGGGGTTTCGTAACCGACCTGGGTATTCCTGATCAGAACGATAAGTGGCTGTCAACAGTCGCATTCCAGGCATTGAAGTTGATCGAACCTAACATAATCACATGGAGTGTGCCTCGCGGCATAACCGTCCTACAAAGTGTAAGAGTCCTTTACATCTTGACGGATACGATGATACAATGTTTCGTCAATTACACAACTGGCGAGGTGTTCGAGACACTTGACTGGCAGATGAAGGACGAGGAGGGCTTCCAGAAGATCTGTGAGATATACCGACCCGCAGAATGGCCTGATCAGGGCGGGGAAAGTTGGGATTGACGAGAATGGACGGCTATTAGCGAGGAGGGCCCAGCGACTCGACAAGACCAGCTAAGGAGGATTGTTATACCTACCCAGGTATGCAGAAAGAATGAAGCGGACAAGACACTGGGCCGTGGCAGGTTGGCATTGGACGAGCCTCTAGAGACCATGGGAAGCCAAGTTCACCGACGACAAACAAATGCAGACCATGGGCTCTTGCTCATGGGAAAGGGAAGGGCTTTTCGTTGTGACATTGGCGCTTGAAGCTATCGTCAGAGCTATCGCCAGAAGTGGAAGACACAGTGGAAAGGATAGTCAGTCAGGTGTATTCGATACTTCCCGATGCCAAAATACACACAGGCTTTGAGGCTTCCCCTGTGCCAACAAAACTAAGACCTAACTAACTAGACATCCATCTCTACACAAATCGCAAAAAAAGAGATGTGCCTCAAATGAGGAATTGTGTTGTGTTTGCTCGGATACGGGGAATCGAACCCCGAGCTGGTGAGTCCTCATGAGCTGATGAGCCCGATGAATGAGAGTCACCGATGTTAACCATTACACCATATCCGATTAGGATTGTTGGAATCGGTCGAAATGTTTGTGATTATCATGTTGGTGCACCACGGCAGAGTAGCTGACTCGAGCCGTTCAGACTGGCTCCTGGAGCTCTGAGGTTGGCGTCAGCGGGTGCTAGCAGTTTGAGGTGGGCTGCCATACATCGGCAGAAATTGCACTGCAAAATGTTCTAGAAATATTGGAGATCCAGTTTCCACCCTGTGCCTCCCTGCCTCCTCGTGCTACTGCATGCAGCATCATCATCACCCCCAAACTCGTACCATATAGCACATGGAAGGCCTGGATAGACCACAGCCTAGACCAGGCGCAGATCAGTGTACCTGTGCTCCTGTGCTCTACGGCACAGGAAGCAGATCCCCGAGGTTCTCCCAACCACACTGCGGATACCCCCATCACTCCAAGGACCCAATTCTTTCTTGGAGGAATAGCACTTGAGGCTAGAAAGAGCGAATACGTAGTAGTTCCATTTAGGTTTATGTGTCAGGGCACTCCAGAAATCACTTACTAAACGGCTTTGCTGCACTTAAACCTTATTTAAGTAGCAAGTAGCTACCCACAGCAGGCACTGCAGGTACTTCAATGTTTGTGCACCTGGCCAGGACAACGAAACGACAACTACATGCAGGGTTAAAGCTTAGAGCAAGGGTTTCTCTACAGTCTCTTGGCCTGAATTGAAAAAGCCGATGACGCCAACTTTCATTGCTGGACAACAAAGAGGACATTCCCCCCTAGCCTCAGATCTACACAAGCACAATCCCCCCCTCAGGATCCCTGGGAGGCTGGCTATATCTCACCTTCAAAATTTGTTCCACAATTCCAATCGGTGGGGAGGACAAATTGGTCCTACCAATTCGGTCTCCAATTAGGGCGACTGAATCACCACCTTGTCGACAATCCTCCGAACGCAGCTGGACAAAGTCTAGTGGCCCAAAGACAGGAACAATGGCTGCACAGTCTACAACCGAGGATTCTTCCATCACCTATGAACAACTCAATGATCTGAGCGCCGAATTCGATGATGCTGAAACAGAGTTGAGTATGCATACCATTTATGTAGTCCGCCATCCAATGGTCCAAAGCTGGCACCTGATTTGATCTGCAACTCAACTCACTAACGAACTACTACAGTCCGGCAGGAGGTGGTGGTCAAGCAACCTCTCTATGAAAAGCGACACAAACTCACCTCACAGATCCCAAACTTCTGGACCCTGGTGTTTGAGCAGGCACCACCAGACATTGACGAGTTCATCCAGCCGTCCGACTCGTCTTTGCTTCTGACATCCTTGACGTCCCTCTCCGTGTCCCGCTTTGAGATCGAGAACGGAGGAGAGGGCGACCCTAGAAGCTTGTCATTCCGATTTGAGTTCAGCAGCAATGATCATTTTGAGGACAAGGTCATTGAGAAGAAGTTCTGGCACAGACGCTCCAAGGACGGTTGGTCCGGTCTGGTCAGCGAGCCAGTCGAAATCCACTGGAAGAAGGGCAAGGACCTGACTGGAGGTCTTCTGGGCACAGTGAAGAAGGTCTGGGCTGCCCGGCAAGCCAATGCCAAGACCGGGGACACAAAGCCCAAGGACTTGACTGCAGACGAGAGGGCACTCAAGAAGAAGATCGAGAACACCGGACTTGGAGGTTTGAGCTTTTTCGCATGGTTTGGTTACGTTGGGAAGAATGTGTCGGCCGAGGAGAGCCACGAGGCTAATGAGAAGGCGCGGAAAGAACGGGCTGCTCGCCAGGAGGGTAATCACTCTTCCGCCGATGACGGAAGCGAGGACGGTGATGAGGAAGACGAAGATGATGACGAGCTCGAGATTTTCCCGGAAGGAGAGAATCTTGCCATTGCCATCTCAGAGGACCTATGGCCGAACGCCATCAAGTACTTCAGTAAGTTTGGAAATGATTTATTGGTAGGAGCCAGTGCTGAACGTGCCACAGCCCAAGCCCAAGAGCAGGACGAAGTCAGCGACGATGACTTCGAATCCGATGCAGATGAGAAGGACCCAGACGCAAAGGACGACGAAGCAGCGGATTCAAATGACGCAGAGGAGGAAGAAGAGGACGAGGCACCCCCTGCTAAGAGGCGAAAGACCTGATCAGAAGCTCGCTGCTGTGGGAGAGGCGTCAACAAGGCAGAGACTAATAATAGACAATCCGGCCTGCTCTTCGGCCCAAATTTGGTCTGGAACCCATTCGGAGTCCGCAAGTAACCAACCGCTCGGCTGCTTGAGTGTGAATCGTCATAATTAACAGCGTGAGCCAATGATTAACCACCCTTGGGATTGAGAGCGGTACGACAGTTCCTACGGGTGGCGGCTTCTCGAACATCCCTTATGGGTCGGGTCGTAAGCTGTCCGAGGCTGACCAACAGAAATATCTTCGCGACAAACATTGGATGCGAATTGACCACCTCAGCAAATTCCTTCTGCACATTATCGGCGACAAATAACCCGAATTCGGTCAAGGCCCTTATATTGGTTGCTGATAGTACGATATAGGAAAGGCGGCGGCACCTTCAAATCCCGTCGAGAGGCTATCTTCGAAAAACTCCAAATCCAGCCTTTTGCTCCGTATACACCAAGCTCATATCTACAACTCTCCAGGTTGTAAATACCTCACATTGTCTCCCCCATACATACTGCATGATGATCTTAAGGCTTGTATTGGTGGGGTACGTGAGCAGGGGTGATGGTCGTCCCGAGACTGGGTGTGGCTCAAACCTCGTACTTGAGCCGTTTCACTAGTCGGTCTGTCCTACGGACACAGCCTCATGGCACTCGGGCTGCCGAGCAGACTTGTAACGACTCGAGTTGCAAAAGTCAAGGCAGGTCAAACTGGCAAATTTCTCAGATTGATCGCAATCGAGTGACATGCAGGTCTCCGTGACTCTGGGTGTCGCTCCAGGCCGCACCAATATATCCCTTAGCTCGCTCCCCCAGCTTGTGTTCAATTCTATTTCTTCGAAAGGGATCACTGTTTCCTCTAGTCGGAGTGTTCTCTTGTATTTCTGAGCCGCGAAGTCGAGGTTCTGGTAGCCCGCAACCTGGCGTCCTTTATTTTTCGAGGATAATATGAGAAGCCTACTCTGGTGGTTATTTGACGGTCTTTCGAGAGGCATAATATCATGAAAGACATACTCAAAGCTGTATGGCTCGTAAGCCTGTTCTGTCAGCTATCTCGTACCGTGGAACTCACGCTGGACGAAGATGGTGAGTACTGACATTGCTATCTACCTATATAGTTCATGGCTGACTATCTTCCCTAGATTCTATTAAGTCGGCGGCAGGCACGTTGGCATTCGGATTGATGAGGTACTACACTGGAAACAACACAGGCGATGTTCCTGGGAACCTACCATCGCCGTACTTCTGGTGGGAGGCTGGGGCATTGTTCGGGACGATGGTTGACTACTGGTTTCTTACAAAAGACGAGAGCTATACAGCCGTAATTAAGCAAGCACTGTTGCACCAGGCTGGCGACGACAGGGATTATATGCCGGCGAACCAGACCAGTACAGAAGGGAACGACGACCAAGGCTTCTGGGCCATGGCCGCGATGTCAGCGGCCGAGAACAGATTTCCAGATCCACCCTCAGACCAACCGCAATGGCTCGCCCTTGCGCAGGCAGTCTTCAACGAGTACACCACCCGCTGGGATACATCAATGTGCAAGGGCGGACTGCGGTGGCAGATCTTCACATTCAACAATGGGTACAATTACAAGAACTCCATCGCCAACGGCTGCTTCTTCAACATTGCTGCCCGGCTCGCCAGGTTCACTGGAAATCAGACGTATGCCGACTGGGCACAGCGCGTGTTCGAGTGGGAACAAGCAACCAACCTGATCACCCTGGATTATCAGATACGCGACGGAGCAGGCACTGACAACGGCGCCAACTGCACGAAGCCGGATACCGTCCAGTGGACCTACAATGCCGGGATATACATGCACGGTTCCGCAATGATGTACAACATCTCCACCGGGCACGCACAGGACACATGGAAGCAGAGGCTCGACGGCATCATCAACGAGACGACAGCCACGTTCTTCAACAACAGCGTCATGGTCGAGCAGGCATGCGAGGATGCGAACCTCTGCGACACGGACCAGCAGAGCTTCAAGGGTTACCTGGCGAGGTGGATGGCGGGCACGACGCAGGTGGCGCCCTACACCTTCGACACCATCATGCCGCTGCTGCGGAAGACGGCGGCGGCTGCGGCACGGGCGTGCTCGGGGTCACCGGCCTCGGGGTTCAGCGGGAAGCCCGGGACCGCGTGTGGATTCCGGTGGACGACGGCCGAGGGGGAGGGCTTCGACGGCCAGCCCGGCGTCGGGCAGCAGATGAACGGGTTGTCGGCGATCATGTACACGCTCACAAAGCGGGCGGTTGCTGGTAGTGGTGATGCCGGTGGCGAGTCCACGGTGCCCGTGACGGCCGACACGGGGGGCACGTCGCAGGGTGACCCGAACGCGGGTGTCGAGGTTGCAGACGAGATGCCGGTCCTGGCTCCCGTGACCACGGCTGAGAGGGTCGCCGCGGGTTTCATGACGAGCGCGATCGCGCTCGGGGTTATAGCCGGTGGAGTGTTCGCGGTCAAGTGAGAAGACGAAGAAGATTCGAAGAAGAAGCTTAATTAAGCTTTAGCGGTCTGCATTGGGGTGGGGGGGGGGTGGTAGTAGGGGGGATGGTCCATATATGATGTTCAGGGGTCCACGGGCGACTGCCACCCGGTAAGCGGCATGGCGGCACGTTTTCGGGGACAGCGTTGACTGTGCGTTATGGCGTGCATTTCCTGATTGCGATACAACGTCCGTTGTTGAAGATTTCAGCTGGTTGCATGATGAGGGCTCCTCGTATGTACGCTGCAGTCTACTTAGTATGTATCGAGACCGGAGAGCTCACACGCTTGTATACGTATAGTTCTACCACCGGATAATTATCCGTGCCGAACATTGAATCCAGTCCCTCTGTGGTCATCGGATACGCTGTACAATAA